TTCAATGATGGCCCTCTTCCTCCATTCGGTCCTTGTTCAGGCTCATGATTGTGATTTCCATTGTTATCATTGTTTACAACCTCCTCCATTGTACTGTTTTTCAACCTTTGAACTCTTCTTCTATTTCTGAAGGTTCTCTCGGGTTCTGAATCAAAAAGTACTATTTCCAGTCCAAGTTCTGTAGGTTCTGTGCTCATACAAATGGAGGAGGTTTATTAAAACAAAAAGACTGCGATTAAACAGCAAAAATGTTTCCTTAAAAATGCCCTTTCTTGCCAAATGATCCCCGGCAACGGCGCCAATTGATTGGTCGAACCGAGAGTTGCTCGGGAATATTTCTTTCAGAGAGCAAGAGTGTAGAGTAGTAATCAAAATTGCCAACATGAGCAATCTACTCTGACTAAGAGCAACCCTCTTTAACTATACGCAAGCGTACGTGTCAAGCAATATAGGGTATTATAGCCCCAGATTTATCGTCCTCAGGGAGCAGTTGTGAAGTAAGAAGCGTTAAAGGAAACTTAATTTGTAAAATGGAGCAATAAAAGAAATCACTATTCTCAGCTAAGCTTCATAAAGAGCAATCTCTGGGCAGCTAGTTAAACAATGTTAACCAATCTGAACCAGATGAGAGCAGTGAATGACTTAGCATGGTCATCGAATAAAAAGGCATCAATTGAAGTAACTTTAAGAGCAGTCAACGAAATGAAAGTAAGAGCATCAGCTAGTAAAACACAGTTCAGTTATCGTGAGGAAAAGGTTGTGATAGGAATTGAGTTAAGATTAATTTCAGAAAGAAAAAGATCAAGTAGGTGTCACGGGTTCCATGTTTTCATCCCTTTGGTTAACCCTGCCTGGTAGCATATTTTACAAGTGGATTTTGCTCCTTCCCTTGTTTTGCTATAGGTAAGCAGAGGGTAAGGCCTTACTCTCCACATTACTCCATAGTACTTGGAGTTATATGCAAGGAAACCATGCTGCCTTCTCAAAAGAGCATGGATTCACATGGCAGTGCTCCCCATTCCAGGTGTTTCTCCCTCTTTTCTTCAGGCTAAACTACCCCAGGATTTTGAGAATGCTCCACACGCCTTTGTCAGTGTTTCATCAACCGAGTGGTCCCGGGATGAGGTTGCCAGCCCAAAGGGTTTCACAAAATCAATAAATTAAACCAAAGAGCAACTCAAAATTCATTTATAAAATATGTGTTCCTTACAAAGCTATCCTAAGACAAAAGGGATTCCTTCTATGGAACCCTCACCTACTTAGAGGAAGTTAGCTCCTAGTGAGCATTTTTACAAAGAAATAAGAAAACAAAGAGACAACACGTCCTAGGATGGGTGCTGATCCTCCTCTTTATGAGGATTGCTTGTTCCTTTTATAGGGTTCTTCATTTGATCTCCATTGTTCCTTTCATCAAGGGTCGTGCTTTGTCTAAATCCTCTCCAATGGTAGCTTTGCTTCTTGCAAGCCTGGCCTTAAATGGAAGTGGTCCCCCTTGCTTTTGGCTCCCTTTGTGAGTAGGAGTATCGGATTCAGGGTGGCACCTCCACTCCTTCTGCTGTAGCTGACGTGGCGGCTCCCCATTGCTCAGCTTTTTGCTTTCGTACTGTAGCAGAGGCAGCACCTCCACCTTCTCTGCTGTAGCTGACGTGGCAGCTCCCCATTGCTTCTTTTGAGTGCTGTTGTACTATAGCATACTTCTTTTTCCTTTCTGCGCAACACTCCTTCTTCTCTCTTCATTTTGTGGTTCCTTTTGATGGGCCTTAGGTATCCTGAACAGAGCAAACTAACCCAATAGTCATATGTGAAAAAGATAATGTTAAATTTGCTCCAGGTTTACCTTAATTCCTACTTTCGGCATTGCTCTGGTCCACTATTCAAAACAGTTGCTCTATATGAAAAGAAGAAGGTTAAATGACGTGATTTATAACCAAAACATGGGTTTTGTGGAACAATTTGCCCTTAATGGGCCTCAACTCTTGAGGACTATCACCATTCCACATATATGTGAAAATGTGTTTCTCCTGTAACGTCAGGAAAGAGGTATCAACGGGGTCGGTGTAATGAAGCTACGTGGAGATCTTGGAGAGCTAGGAGGTGCGAGCTCGTGGTCCTCATGGGTCGATCGACCAAGCGATGAATCCGGCGAGCAATCTTGTGGAGACTCCATGAATCTATTTCAAAAAATTACACAAGTAATTAATTAACAGTTCTAAAATAATTGAAATGAACAAAAACTAAATTAAATTAAATTTAATACATTAACACTACTAAATTAAATTAAATTACTTAATAGTTCAAAAAAAATTTAAACATAAACAAATTTAATGAAATGAAATTAATTAACATGCGTAAAAATAATTAATTAACAGCTCTAAAATAATTTAAATTAATATAGACTAAATTAAACTAAATGAATTAACAAACATAAATTAAGTTTAATCTATCAAAACTCCTAAATTAAATTAAATTACTTAACAATTCAAATTTTTTTAACATAACATAAACTAAATTAAATGAAATTAATTAACCCTCCTGAAAATAAGTAATTAACAGTCCTAAAATATTTTAAATTAATATAGACTGAATTATGCTAAAATAATTAACAAACATAAATTACATTTAATTCATTAACACTACTAAATTAAATTAAATTACTTAACATTTCAAAAAAGTTAACATAACATAAACTAAATTAAATGAATTTAATTAATACTCCTAAAAATAAGTAATTAACAGTTCTAAAATAATTTAAATTAATATAGACTGAATTAAAATAAAATAATTAACAAAAACAAGTTATGTTACATTCATTAAAACTCCTAAATTAAATTAAAGTACTTAACAGTTCAAAAAAAAAAAACTAAATTAAATGAATTTAATTTACACTCCTAAAAATAATTAATTAATAGTTCTAAAATAATTTAAATTAATATACATTGAATTAAACTAAAATAATTAAAATAAATAAATTTTATTTAATTTAGGAGTGTATATTAATCTAAAATAATTAACAAACATAAATTAATTTTAATTCATTAACCCTCCTAAATTAAATTAAACTACTTAACAATTCAAAAAAAGTTAACATAACATAAAATAAAATAAATTAAATTAATTAACACTCCTAAAAATAAGGAATTAACAGTTCTAATATAATTTAAATTAATATGTACTAAATTAATTAATAAGCATAAATTTAATTTTATTCATTAACACTCCTAAATTAAACTATATTCCTTAACAGTTATAAATAATTCGTTAACACTCCTACATTACTTTAAACTAATTAACACACATAAATTAAATTGAATTAACAGTCCTAAATTAAATTATTTTAACAAAATATATTTTAAACTAAAATATTCAAACCAATATTATTTTTCCTTAATTCATTTTATTTCAAAATACAAATATCAATTATTAAAATTATCCTATAATTTATTTATACTAACTCATTCAACAAACATATAAATCATGTTATCTATCCTAAGGTTTAATTTCTACACTAGAAAATTAATTAATATCTAAATATATCATCTATCCTAGGATTTAATTCCTATACTAATAAAAATATCATCTCATCTATCATATAAAATAACATCATTTAAATTTAAAACAATAAACAAAATTATAGTGAAAAAAAGTTAAACTAACCTATGAGAGACAATGGGAATTAGTTGGTGTGCAAGGGATCTATCAAATAAAATAACAACATTTAAATTTAAAACAATACACAACATTGCAGTGAAAAAAATAAATTAAACTAACATGTGAGAGACAATGGGAACCAGTTGGTGTGCAAGAGATCTATCAAACAAAATAATAGAATTTAAAATAAAAATAATAAACACAATAGTATTGAAAAAACAAATTAAACTTACCTCTGAGAAAGAATGAAAACAAGATGATAATGTGCAAGGGGGAGGTGGACCAGTGGGAGAATGAGAAAAAAAAGGGAAGAGAAACGATTTTTCACAGGGGGAAGTGGGAGAAAAGGGGAGGGGGATCGGTTTTATAGTGGTGGGACCATTAAAATCGCTGAACAGTGCACCGGGTTGGGTCCGGGTGTGACACATGTCGTACATGCGTTGTGTGGTTGTACGGTTGCCATGTAACATGTTAGGCTGTCCAGCAATTTTGGCCACCTAAGATGCCATGCTGTCTAGCATTTTAGGCCACGTGGCAAACTGTGGTAAAAGCTGTCTGCCACGTAATCTCGCTGCACTGCGTAGCGGCTTATGTGGCCATGAACTTGCTGCCATGTGTGCACTCTTAACTCACAAGAGTTATAGCGAGTTAGGTGACATGGTATTTTAGAATTTTTTTTTTCAAATCGAGGCATTCAGATAATTTTTTTTGAATAGTGTGACATTTTGATCGTTGTCCCAAAATTAATACTAAAAATAATTTACATTTGAGAAAGGAGAAATAGTTTTTAGATACCATATAAGGGAAAAACTCTTAATAAAGTAGTTAAACATCACCCTCACCAAAAAAAATAAAAATAATAATTAAACATCAGGATTAAATTGGCCCGGCCCACTTTGAATTGGTGTTGGGCTAAGTAAAGTTAAAGCAAAATGTATTGCAGAAAGAAAAAGAAAAAGAACAATATACTTTAATGTAATATATAAGAGTAAATCAACTGAAATTTGAAAAAAAAATGAATAAATATTTATATAAAAAGAAATTAAAGAGCGATTGAAATTTGAAAAAAGAAATTAACTTAAAAATGTTTACAATTAACTATTTTAAAAGTGTATGTATTTGAGATCTTGAAAAATAATATAAATTTGAAAGTATTTACTAATTTAAATTAAATAAGGCAAGAGTTTAAATATATCAATCACATTTGGGTTTAACCGTTTAACTCTTATTATCTGCCACTGCCACTTAACAATGATTAATTAATTAATAAATGTTATCCAATAATACTTACGGAAAGTTGGTGTTAATATATATTAATATTTTGAAATTGTTTCCCCTTCTGCCTTTTCTTAATCGAATCTATTATTCACTCTCTTCCACAATCCCTCTTCCGTAGCCATCGACCGCGATTCTCCAACCTTCAGGCTAATGATTTTCTGTATTTAAAAGGTATTACTCTCTGATTTTGTGCTTACTTTTGATGCTATTTGTTATTGTTATAATAGTTATTGTTGTATGAAGTGTTTATAGTTAGTTTCTGTCAACTCTGAATTGGTTGGATTCATTTGAAAGAATTGTATTTGAACTTTCGTTTGTTCTAATTCCAAGCATGGTTTTTACATGGGCATTCGTAATAGTACTTGAAAAAGCTCTGGCTGCTCATTGCAGGAAATTATTTTGATAAACACAGTATAGGTGGAATTTGATTTTAAGGTAGATACAGAACAAGGTGTATTCGAAACTTGAAAGATTTTTTGGGGGTAACTTGTTCTTGATTTCTGTGAAGGGAATGCAAGTTAAACTTATCAGTTCTTTTAGAGTATAAGTTGCAAATAAAGACTAAAATCCCAGTGTGTTTTTGAAGAAAATGCGAAGAACAATACATGTGGGACACAGTTTTGAAGCATAATAATAATAAAGGAAGGGAAGGAAACCATGGGATCATGGTATTCCCTAGGGTAGCTTTTTCCTTAACGTTTCATTCCCTCCAAAAGTGGGCAGAAAGTGGAAACTGGAAAGAATGGATAAACTTCTGATCAAATTTTATGATCTTTGAACTTCATCTACTATCTGTTAAAAGGTAATGATTTTTAAAAACAGTTAAAAACTTAAAATAGTGTGAGGGAAAAAAAGATATTTCCTTTTACTTTCCATTCTATTGTGTTCCCAAACATACATATGTTTATTGTTTTCCCCCCTAGGGTGAACCATCCAAAATGAGGAACGATTATCAGTATCCATCCCATTTGTTTTCTATCCTTTAATGACCATTTTTCTTTCCAAACAAATTGTCAATAAATTGTAAGTTAGAAGAGATGTTTTTTGTGTCCTTGATATGAGGAATAATTTATTTTTCTTAGTCAATAATTTCCATAATTATCAAAGCAATATTTAATTTGTTTTTTATACTCAATTTTATTCATCATGGGCAAATATTATCATCAATTCCAATTGAAAGTTGAGGTGAAAGTTGCCCTAAACTGGAGTTGTAAAAATGAATGAATCACGAAAAAATTATGGACAATATTTTATTGATGAGCTGTTTAAGGAAATTATGAAGGGAATCCTGCTCCTACTCAAAGGAAATTAAGAATATAATTTTGTTCTATGTTGACATGTGGCTGTATTTAAGAGGATTTGAATTATTTTATTTGCTGCACAATGCATATGGCATAGTTATTTCCTATGAGTGGATATTGACCTTGTTAATGTAAAGTTTTGAAACGACTTATCTTTATAGCTTGTTTTTTGTAAGAAAAATAAAATGCAAGAAGCATGGCTCGGTTCATTGACAACTCAATCAGCTAAATTTTTTGGTTCATTTGTTAAAGGAGCCAGACTCGATGAGCTTTTACATGTTTGACTCATTAGCTTGGTGGTGGCTTGACATATGTGTCTATATATATATATATATATGTATAGTTTTTTTGTTAACAGGAGTAATAATAATGTGTTAATTTAATATAGATTAGCATTAGATATTTTTTTTTTGGTCTCACTTTTAGCTAAGCATATGTAAGAAAAACATAGGGCGAGCCTCGGAGCAAGTGGTAAGATTTCTCCTCTATGACCAGCAAGTCTCAGGTTTGAGTTTAGAATATATATATGTATATATATATATATATATATATTATTTTTATTTCTTTACAAAAATGTAAGGGTAAGGCTGCGTACAATTGACCTTTTACAAAGTTAGAGAGCCTTTGTGAACGAGATTTGCCCCTTTTTCCCTTTATATTTAAGAAAAATAGAATTTTTATTGAACCACAAATACGAGCTTAACTCATTGAGCATAAAGGTTTAAATAATGAAAGCTTGTATATTTAATCTTTGAGCTTGAGCAACTCATGAGCTTAAGGTGATTCAAGCTCCAGCCAAGAAAATGAGCTTAATTTTTCATTGAGTTCAGCCTGCATGAGCCTCACTCGGCGCAGCTTGACTCATTTTCAGTCCTTCATTGTTACTCAATTGATGGTACATTATGATGCATGACACAGATAGAGGTATCCATATGACATTTTGTATGACATGCCACAGGATGGGGTTGGATTTAGTTGGAATGGAGTTTGTGTTTCAATTATGCTTAGGAGCATTTACTGGGGTTTCTATGCATTTAGAGAAAATTGTACTTTGATATTTAAATGAAATCTCTATCATGAGACTTGCTATGAGATAAAATTGTTTTCATGGCTTCTCATTGGTGATCACTGTTCAGTACATGGATTATTTCAAAAATAATCTTTGGTAGATATAGATAGGGATTGGTTAAATCTCTTATAACAATTTTTAGCTCTATTTTTTCTTTCTTCTTTAACTGCTTTGTTAAGGAGGAATCCCCCCCCCGCCCCCTCACCCCCTCTTTGTTATCATTTGCTCTTTCAAATTAAATTTCTTCATTTATTAAAACAAAAAAAAAAATTGTATGCTATTAATAAAATCAATGTCAGGATTACATGTAGTGCATATCTGAAGCCTTCTATAAAGGAAGCTAACTCTTCTTTGATGGCTGTAAAAGATGCATCAATTAAAAGGTGCTCAAATGCTTGTGCTTTTATAACACATTTTTACTTTGAAACACTAGCTTGTTCTCCATTGAACTTTCTCTCATTCTCAATGCCTTTAGCATCAAAACAGCTGCTTCTCATCCCAAAGTGAAAATTATTGTGCTCACTGTTAGAATAGGAAATATAATATATATAGATTTGTATAGATTGCATTCTTATTTGTAAATATTCTTTTCCTTATTTAGGATTTGGGCTAGGTCTGGGCTTGTCACTTAAGCCCATTAGGGTCTGTATATATTGTATCTCTTTGTATCAGTTTAATACACAACATATTATTTCATATTCAAGTTGGTATCAGAGCTCTTTTGTTCTGGGACCTTAGCTTTCGCTTAAAACCTCATTTTCGCTTTAAAACCTAAGCCCACTGCTTAGGTGTTCTCTTTTTCTTTGCCATGTCCTTCCAGCAAGTCATCTAAGCCGTGTGCCCCTTCAGATCGCTTTCTGTACCTGTCAGAACCTCCGTTCGTCGCTGGAATTGCCATTCGTCACTGTTCCGGTCACCGGAGAACTTTTCCGGCGACGATTTCAACCGGGACACCTGCGATCAGAACCTCCTCTCTCCGGCGACCTGTTATGTGGAAGACCCACCACCGACGCAGCCTCCACGCGCGGCCTCTTTCCTCTACGCGTGGTGCTCACGCGCCACCTTTCATCGACGCATGTGCACTGTTTCGACGTCCTTTTCCGGCCGTTCCAGGACAGAACAACTTGCCTTCTCCTCCCCTTTCCAGATCTGCTGTTGGTTCTTCGTGGGTCTCATTTGCGGTGTGTGTCTCTTCTTGATTGGCCATCAGGTTAGTTTCTATTTACTTGGTTATGTACCTTTGTGATTTATTTTAATGGCAGAAGTTTCTCCTGTTCACTCGGAGGTCAATTCCCCTCCTCTTCCTGTTAAAAGTTCCTCAAGTATCATCTCCACCAATGTTGGGCCCATTACCTCCTCCAAATTGAAGAGTTCTGTTAATTACAAGAATTGAGCCACCTCTGTTCGAGTCTGGTTCTTTGGACAGGGGCATGGGCAACATCTCACAGTTAAATCTACTGATATTCCTAAGGAAGAAAAATCTGATTTAAAAGGATTGACTACCAGCTTCTGAGTATTCTTTGGCAGTCTATTGATCCAATCGTTTTGGATATTTTCTATTCTTTTCAAACATGCAATGAAGTGTGGGAGGAAGCAAAACACCTCTACACTAATGATGTTCAACAGCTCTATTCTATCATGTCTCAATTTATGGATTTGCGCAAATCATCTGACACTCAGATGGAGACGTATGTTGGCTAAAGTCGATCTTTGATGCAGGCATATTTAGATATGTTGCCCCTACCCTACTGATGCTTCTGCATATAGGAAACATGTGGAGCGTCTCTTTATGGTTGCCACACTTTCTGGTCTTCCCGAAGAATATGAAAATGTCCGTGATACTATCTTGACTAATGGAGATGCTGATTTATCACTGACTTATCAACTCCTTCTCAACCTGAATAAGAAATCTACTCCTGCATCGTCTTTTGTTGTTGATTCCACTGCTCTTGTTTCCCGTATTGACTTTCGCGGGAACAATGGAGGTGGTCGTGGTCGTGGTAGGGGCCAGGGAGACGTGGTCAGGGCGGACGTGGTCAGCGACCTCGTTGTCATTATTGTCAGCAACTTGGTCATTATGAGGAACGTTGTTACACAAAGTATCCTCACCTGCAACCCTCTCATGCTGCTAATATAGCTCAGTCAGATACTGCTTCATCTGGTACAGTGTCTCTCTCTTCTGAAGACTATGCAGCACTTCAGACTCTTCTCAGGAAGGCTTTTCCTCAGTCTCAGCATTCTGCTCCAGATACTTGTAATCCTGTTGTTTGTGTTTCTCATTCTACATCGCTTGGTCCTTGGATATTTGACTCAGGTGCTACTGATCACCTCTGTGGTAATAAGGAACTCTTTATATCTCTTACTTATTCTGATCATTTACCTTCTTTCACTCTTGCTGATGGCACTAAAGCCCCTGTTCATGTGATTGGACAAGTTTGTCCAACTTCTTCTTTGACCTTGGCATCTGTTGTCTATTACATTCCTGACATCTCTTATAACTTAATTTCTATTAGTAAATTGATCAACTCTCTTACTTGCATTGTTACCTTCTCAAACCATTCTGTTTCTGTGTAGGATCCGGGTACGGGGAAGAAGAATGGAGTGGCCCGTGAGTCACAGGGTCTGTTTTACCTGGTTGTGCCTCGTCCTTCAGTAGCTTGTTCTCTCACAGAATCTCCACAACTCATCCATAGTCGCCTCAGTCATCCCAGTCTTTCAAAATTGAAGAAAATGGTTCCTCTTTTATCCGGTCTTCAGTCTTTAGATTGTCAGTCATGTCAGCAAGGAGAGCATATACGCTCCTCCTTTGCCAGTCGAGTCAATAAACGAGTTGATGCTCCTTTTTCAATTATTCATTCTGATATTTGCGGTCCAAGTCGTAGTTTGTCTGTTTTAGGGTTTCGGTATTTTGTTACTTTTATTGATGATTATTCACGTTGTACCTGGATTTATTTAATGAATAATCGTTTTGAGTTATTCTCTATTTATAAAATTTTTTCTGCCGAGATTCATACTCAATTTGGTGCTTCTATTCGTATTTTGTTTCTATTCCTAAGATCACAGGTGAAGCACTTTCCCATCCAGGGTGGCGCCAAGCGATGTTTGATGAGATGACTGCACTTCATTCCAATGGCACTTGGGATCTTGTTCCTGCTCCTCCAGAGAAGTCTATTGTTGGTTGTCGCTGGGTCTATACTGTCAAAGTTGGACCTGATGGCCATGTTGACCGTCTCAAGGCGCGCTTAGTTTCTAAGGGTTTTACTCAAATTTTCGGCCTTGACTATAGTGACACATTCTCTCCGGTCGCTAAGATGGCGTTTGTTTGCTTGTTTCTTGCTCTCCCTGCTGTTCGTCACGGGCCACTCCTTCAGCTTGGCATCAAAAATGCTTTTCTTCATGGTGATTTACAAGAAGAAGTTTACATGGAGCAACCACCTGACTTTGTTGCTCAGGGGGATTCTGGGAAGGTGTGCCAACTTCCTAAATCCTTATATGGTCTCAAGCAGTCTCCTCGGGCATGGTTCAACCGTTGCAGTTCTGCTGTTTAGGCTTTTGGCTTAATTCGTAGCAAAGTTGATCATTCTGTATTTTATAGGTTCACATCTCCTGATAAGTGCATCTATTTTTTAGTCTATGTCGATGATATCATTCTCACTGGGAGTGATCAAGCTAGAATTCGTCAGTTAAAACAGTATTCGTTCAGTCAATTTCAAACAAAGGACCTTGGTAAGCTTTGTTACTTCTTAGGGATTGAGGTGACACAGTTTAAACAGGGCATTTCTATCTGTCAAAGGAAGTATGCCTTAGATATCCTAGAAGAAACTGGTATGTTGGGATGTAAACCAGTTGATACACCCATGGATCCTACTATCAAATTATTGCCCGGACAGGGGGAGCTGTTATCTGATCCTGGTCGTTATCGGAGGTTGATTGGGAAGTTCAATTATCTTATTGTGACTGGGCCGGACATTTCTTTTGCTGTTAGGAGGACTAGTCAGTTCCTTGACTCCCCTTGTGATTCTCATTGGGATGCTGCTGTGAGGATCCTTCGGTACATCAAAGGAGCACCGGGGAAAGGCTTGTTGTATTCAGATCAGAGAAATACAGAAATTTGTGGTTATTCAGATGCTGATTGGGCAGGATCACCCTCAGACAGGCGCTCTACTTCAGACTATTGTGTCTTCTTTGGAGGAAACTTAATTTCTTGGAAGAGCAAGAAACAACCTGTTGTTGCTCGATCTAGTGCAGAAGCTGAGTATCGTGCAATCACAATTGCTACCTGTGAGCTAATGTGGTTAAAACAATTGATTTAGGAGCTTCATCTTTGTGAATAGAAACAACCCATGACACTCATTTGTGACAATCAAGCTGCATTACATATATCATTTAATCCTGTATTTCATGAGAGAATCAAACATATAAAGATTGATTGTCACTTCATTCGAGAAAAGATTCAGTCAGGAGAAATCAAAACAACTTTTGTCAACTCCAATGATCAACTCGCGGATGTCTTCACTAAAGCTCTTAGAGGTCCTCGGGTTGAATACATTTGTAACAAGCTCGGTGCTCACAATATATACGCACTAGCTTGAGGGGGAGTGTTAGAATAGGAAATATAATATATATAGATTTGTATACATTGCATTCTTATTTGTAAATATTCTTTTCCTTATTTAGGATTTGGATTAGGTCTGAGCTTCTCACTTAAGCCCATTAGGATCTCTATATGTTGTATCTCTTTGTATCAATTTAATACACATTATATTATTTCATATTCAAGTCTCACTAATGCTATTATTTCATATTCGAGTCTCACTAATGCTTACTGTGCTATATAAATGTGTCTTGCAGTTTTTAAATTCATCTTGCTAATGTATGCTTCTTCTGTCTTCATATTAATTTGCAGAATGAGGATGGCTAAGGAAGAACCATCTAGTAGGGACACACAGGCAAGTACTAACCACTTAAATGTAACTTGGATCCATGAGACTTTCTTTTGCTCCCACTTCAACCTTTTTAGTGGCAGGAATATGAAGAAGTTTTATTTATTTGCTTGAACAGGTGATAGACATGATATCAGCAGTGAAGGAATTACATGGGCTTAAGTCTCAAGATCTTTATAGATTATTGAGGGATGCTGAAAATTTTACTATTCATCACCATACTGGAAAAGGATTGCTGCTGAAGGTTTCATGCTCAGCATCATAATGATATTTTATTTTATTTTTGTCAGAGTGTTCTTTCTAATGGAGTTTGTGTACAGATTGATATGGACAAGCTTGCAGGATCTCTTCCATTGCACCTTACTGCAATGCTAATCTCATCTGATAGAGATGAAGCTATGTTCAGATACTTGTTATGTGGTATTCGTCTGTTGCATTCCTTGTGTGATTTAGCTCCCCGTCTTCCTAAACTTGATCAGGTTAATAATAATTATGTTTATAAGCTTATTAACAATTATTGTAATATTGCATTTTTCTTTCTATGGTTTTCCACTTTTCCGTGCTTGTTTTCTTGTGTGGCAAAGGCATGTTATCTAAATGTTGAATAATATTATTGAAATTCCACAAAAGTTTGAATAACTGATAGAGGCCTGTATAAAAATAGGCTAGAAGTTCAGGAAGGATGGTAGGGAAAGAAAGAAACCGGTGAGATGGAGAAGAATTCTGTTATTCTATTATGGAGAGAAAGAGAAAGTATCTATTAGAGTATAATATAAACCATTAAAGAGGCCCTCTCCTAACTGATAGAGACCTAATGCATCATCCACCTTTCAAGCCCAGTGAGCTCTCTTGTAAGGGGGCGTGTTAGAGAATAGTATAAATCATTAATAAAGCCCTCACCCACCAGCTTAAGCTTTTGAGTTGAATTGGTTCTTTATAGTATCCGAAGATAATATCTCCCTTACAACTGAGCAATCTCAGTTAACACACTATTTATTGTAAATATTAGAATTATTTTTATTATTTTGTAATAGTTAGTATTTGGGTTTAGCCCATTAGGTCTTTTAGTCTCTTTAAATAGAGAACTCTTGTATAGATATTACACACAGTTTTATAATATACAAATATTTCTTCCAATTTGGTATCAGAGCTCTCGATTCTAAGAGCTCTGCTTCCGCATCTACCGTTTTTAAAGAGGAATCCTTATATTTTGTCTCTCGTTGCCATTAGCCACCACCGGAAAATATTTATGGGGACCCTTTTGGACCGAGAGGATCACCGTTCGATGCTCCGATCACTGTTAGTCGAAACACCACCATTGACCACTGTCGCCGGCGAGTTTTCCAGCGATCCACCCACGGTTGTGATCGCTACGACGAGGCGACCTCCTCTGTCCAAGACCTACCTTGTGATTCGTTCAGACGCTCCCTCACGCTTGTGGAAGAGACGCGCTGCATCCGGACCTGCAGAGGCGCGCGGAGGCGCGTGAGACACCCCGTTCACGCGCGACCAGTATAGACCAGCTCGCCTCCTTCTTCTGAGTTTGGATTTGTGATTCCCACAACGTTTTTCCTTCTCTTTTTTACTGTTCCAGTCTCCTGGTTACTATTCCGGTGACGTTGGACCTCAACCGCTCTGATCAGTCAGTTTTTCAGGGAATTTTATGTCTGACGTTGAAGATAATCTTATCAATCAGCCCTCTGTTACACCCTATATGGCTTCTCTTAGTTCAAATGATCTGCCTGCTCTCCATCAGAATTAATGGAAAAAATTATTTGCAGTGGTCTCAGCTGGTTCGTACAATTCTCAAGGGCGTCGCAAGATTGCTCATCTTGAAGGACCTGTTACTGCTAACACAGATCCAAAATTTGCTGATTGGGATGATGTAAACTCCCTTATTATGACGTGGATATGGAACTCTATGACTCCTGAAGTTAGTCAACATTGCATGTTCTTACCTACTGCTCTTGAGATCTGGAATGTTCTTCGTCAGACCTATTCAATGAAACAAGATGCTGCCACCTGCTATGATATGAGGAATAAAATTTTTTCTACCAAGCAAGGCTCTTTCTCTGTAACAGAGTATTATGGCAATCTGAAGGGATTATGGACTGAGCTAGATCAGTATTAGAGTTTGAAGATGGAGTGCAGCAAGGATGCAGCCACTTTGGCCTCCTCTGTTGAAAGAAATCGGATCTTTGACTTTCTTTGTGGCCTCAATTCAGAATATGATCTTATTTGGGTTCAAAACCTTGGTAAGGAAAAATTACCTTCTCTTTCTGAAGTTTTTCATACTGTCAGGGGTGAAGAAAGTCGTAGGAGTGTCATGATGGATACCGAGTTGTCTGAAGGATCTGTCATGATCTCATCTAAAGTCACTACTTCAACTCTTTCTGATGAGTCTGCTATGATCTCAGCTAAGCCACCTCAGTCCTCAGGGGTCTTCTTTGTTTAAGTCATCTCAGGGTTCCTCTTCCTTTAAGCCCCCCAACAAAGACGGACGTTGGTGCAATTATTGTAAAAGACCAGGTCACACAAAAGATATTTGCTACCGTCTTCATGGGAGACAACAGGTTTTGGAGAAGTTTATTAAGCCACCCTCACGTGGTCAATCTTTCTTGGCCCCTTCAGACATTCCTCCTGTGAATGAGAACTCACAGATGCCTGATGCGTTTACTACTATTCTTCGTGAGGAATTGGAACGGCTTAGGTCCGTATTTGAATCTCTCAATAAGCCTTCTGGTACTGGTACTTTGGCTATGACTGGTAAGAATTCATCCAATCATTCTTTTATCGCTTCTTGTACTGATTTCAAAACTTCATGGATTGTGGATTCTGATGCTACTGATCATATGACTTGCTGCAATAACCTTTTTCTTTCTTATAATCCTACTGTTGGTATTCGTATTATAGCCGTAGCTGATGGATCACACACATCAGTTGCAGGTTCTGATAACATTAAAATCCAACCCTCCTTGTGTCTCAAGAATGCTCTCCATGTTCCCCAACTTTCTACCAACCTCCTTTTTACTCATAAGCTTTCTACAGATTTGAATTGCACTGTAACCTTTTTCCTTACTCATTGTGTTTTTCAGGATCTCACCACGGGGAAGACGATTGGAGTTTCTAAGGAGCAGGGTGGGTTGTATTATCTAGTTCCAGACTTTGTTGCAGAAGGTACCAGGGATCAGACTTTGATGAGTCGTCAGTCTACTTCAGTTTCTCTTATTTGGCTTCATCACAAACGCTTGGGTCATCCTTCTTTTAGTTTACTTAAGTCTATGTTTCCATCTTTGTTTTTGCAGTATGTTGAGTCTTTTAATTGTGATGTCTGTCAATTTGCAAAACATCATCGTGTATCATTTCCTTCTAGCGAAATAAAAAGTGTTGAACCTTTTACCATTATTCATACTGATGTCTGGGGGCCTTCCAGGTACGTAGTGTTTCTGGTGCTAAGTGGTTTGTATCTTTTATTGATGATTATACTCGGACTATATGGATCTTCTTGATGAAAGATAAGGAAGAAGTAACACAGTTGTTTATCCAGTTTTATTATATGATTGAAACCCAGTTTGGTAAACGTATCAAACGCTTGAGATCAGATAATGGTACAAAATATGTTAATCAACATCTCTCTCAGTTTATTAAAGATAAAGGAATGATTCATGAACTCACATGCGTGAATACCCCTAAACAAAATGGGGTTGCTGAAAGAAAAAATTGACATTTGTTTGAAGTCACCAGAGTATTATTGTTTCAGACATCTATACCCAACTCTTCTTGGGGAGAAGCTGTATTAACTGCAGCTTATTTGATCACCCACTTACCTTCCAGAATCTTTGGCCATGTAAGTCCTGTTGATCTCATGACCTCTTTTTTTCCTTCTGTTCCAATTATGCAGAGTCTCCAGTCTCGTGTCTTTGGATGTGTACTTCGGAGTAAATTAGAGCCTCGAGCCCTTAAGTGTGTCTTCCTTGGTTATGCTCCTAACTAGAAAGGATACAAATATTATCATCCTCCAAGTCGTAAATTCTCTGTGTCTATTGATGTTAGCTTCCATGAATCTGAGTCCTACTTTCTACCTCCTCAGCTTCAAGGGGAGAACAATATTGAAGCTCCTTCCATTTTCTTTGAGTATGAGTCTCTCCTTCCGTTACCTACATCATCTCCTACCCCAGTAGTTACACTACATGACAATGAGAAGGAAGACTTAGTTGATGAGGCTGAAAGTTCATCTGATTCCTCTTGTGATATGCCTTGATCGACAGAAAGTACGCAAAGTCGGGACACTTGAACTATTTTATCAAAGGAGGAAACAACCCACATTGCCCCACTAGCAACTGCAGTTGCATGAACCGCTGGTAAGTACTGAATAGACTGCTTATTTTATTCCTGAGCCTGATATTAATTCCGTTGACTTACCCATTGCTGTAAGAAAAAGGAAAAGGTCTTGTACCCAACACCCTATTTCTCTTTTTGTCTCCTCTAAGAATCTCTCTGTGCATCATAGAAGCTTTAGTACAACACTTGACTCCATTTCAATCCCGAAATCAGTACATGAAGCATTAAAGGATGACAATTGGGTTCAAGCCATGCATGACGAGATGAATGCATTAGAGAAGAATAATACATGGGAAGTCGTTGACAGGCCAAATGGAAAAAGGGCAGTAGGAAGCAGATGGGTTTATACTCCGAAATATAATTCTGATGGGACTCTTGAAAGGTATAAAGCTCGACTGGTTGCCAAGGGGTACACACAGACTTATGGCATTGATTACGAAGAAACATTTGCTCCAGTGGCTAAAATGAACACTGTAAGAGTTCTATTGTCCCTTGTTGCTCATTTTAATTGGGATTTGAGACAATTTGATGTGAAAATTGCCTTCCTCAATGGCGAATTAAAAGAAGAGGTTTACATGGAGATCCCACCACGATTTAACTCTACAAATGGAGAAAACAAAGTTTGCAGGTTAAAGAAAGCATTGTATAGCTTGAAGCAATCCCCGCGTGCTTGGTTTGGAAGATTTACAAAAGTTATGCTTTCATTAGGGTACAAACAAAGTCAAGGGGATCATACACTTTTCTTTAAACATTCTCAGGAAGGTAAACTCACTATCCTTCTAGTTTATGTTAATGACATTATTATAACAGGGGATGATATAGATAAGAAGCATGCTCTGCAAGAAAGATTGACTTCTGAATTTGAAGTTAAAGACCTTGGAAAATTGAGATATTTTCTTGGGATAGAAGTTGCTCATTCAAAGCAAGGGATCTTTATTTGTCAATGGAAGTATGTTCTTGATCTCCTTAAGGAAGCAGGAAAACTTGGGTGTAAACCTTCCAGTACTCCAATTGAGCAGAATCACAAACTAGGAAGTGAGAATGAGAGTCCTCCAGTTGACAAAGGACAGTATCAACGTATAGTGGGAAGATTGATATACCTGGCTCATACTAGACCTGATCTAGCGTATGCAGTTAGTATTGTTAGTCAATTCATGCATGATCCGAGGGAAAAACACCTGCAGGCTGTGGATAGGATTCTTCAAGATCTAAAAGGCACACCAGGCAGAGGACTATTATTCCAAAGAGGAGGAAAATTATCCTTAGAATGTGTATACAGACTCAGATTATGCTGGATCCGTTACTAATCGACGATCTACCTCAGACTATTGTATGTTTCTTTATGGAAATCTCATAACACGGAGAAGTAAAAAGAAAAATGTGGTTGCTAGGTCGAGTGTAGAAGCAGAATTCCGAGCCATGGCTCAAGGTATCTGTGAGTTATTATGGCTGAAAATCATTCTCGATGATCTCAAGGTGAGATGTGAAGGGTCTATGAAGTTACTCTGTGATAACAAGTCAGCTATCTGTATAGCTCACAATCCAGTCCAACACGACTGAACCAAACATATTGAGATTGATCGCCACTTCATCAAGGAGAAACTAGATACCGGACTGATCACAACTTCGTATATTTCGTCTAGTTGTCAATTGGCTGATGTCTTGACTAAGGGTCTTCCTAATGATAGGTTTCAAGAGCTTACTAGCAAGCTGAGAATGATAAATATCCATTCCTCAGCTTGAGGGAGAGTATTGTAAATATTAGAATTATTTTTATTATTTTGTAATAGTTAGTATTTGGGCTTAGCCTGTTAGATCTTTTAGTCTCTTTAAATAGAGAACTTTTGTACAGATGTTACACACAATTTTATAATATACAAATATTTCTTCCAATTCTATTATTCCAACCTACCTCTGTTCTGTACAACTCCCGCTATTTAAACTCTTAAATCTTCACTAACTACTGCTTTAACCAATTGTGTTAACTAATTAACCCACTAGCTACCCTGGTATTTATTCTTCCATGAATACACCTTCCAAACAGTGTTCTGTTGCTGTGGCTCGGGCCTAACAACATCTATTGTAAAATGTGAATGAATAATGGTTTGCTAGCCTGAATACCCTGTCTTTAGTGATAATGGTCGGTCGTGGTAACCTATACATGTTTGTTTGTTAAATTAGATTATAATAACACTGCAACAGTAGAATCTGATTTCTGTATGTGGAATATGATTACAGATTTTCCTAGATGATGTGAAAGTGTTGGAACAGATGATTGATTTGGTTTTCTACATGCTTATTGTTCTTAGTGGCTACAGACAGGTTTTCTTTTTTTTTTGAATACCAGACAGGTTTTCTTCAGTTCTTAGCTCCGCAGTTTAAACTTCTGTACTGTTTATCTGTATTGAGATTTGTACCTGTGCTGCAGGAAGACCATACTTATAGTCCTATGTACCTTTTGCATTCAGCTCTTGTAGCATGCAACTTATATCTATTAACAGGGTTTATATCGACAAAATGGCAAGATGTTGTCCATGTTTTGCTTGCACACCCAAAGGTACAAGTTCTCTATGGTTAAAGAATGACTTTCATTATATATAAATTATTTAAAATCCTTTTTTTGGGGTAAATATATGAAATCCTTTTTACTTAACTCTCAAATGTTTTGAACTAAAATTTAGAGTTTTTCCAAACACTTTTAAAAGGGATTTTGGTTGTTGAAATTGCTTCTTTACCCTCTCTTAAGAACCTTGAGGTCACCACCCTAAGAACCTCTGGGAAGGTGTATCCCAAGGTTCTTTACATGGTATCAAAGCCTCACCGTCCCCCACTTTCTCTTGTGGAGTTTCTTAGCACACGTAGGCTGGGCCTGTTGCATTGTCCACTCTTCAAGCCCAATGGGCTCTTGTGTGAGGAGACGTGTTGAGATATATAGTCCCACATTGGTTGTATGAGCAACTAATGTGGAGTTTATAAGGCCTTGGGCACTCCCACCCTTTGAGCTAGCTTTTGGGGTGGTGACCTCAAGGTTCTTTACACCCTCAAAAGGACATGATACCAATTTATATAGCATTTATTTCAATCTACTTGTTGCATGCATATAGAAATGCTTTTCCTGTCATTTAAATTATATTGGTATATTCAATGTTATTTTCTGATAATACATATATGCTATGGCTAGTTATGAACCTCTCTGTAACAGGTTGACATATTTATGGATGCGGCTTTTGGGTCAGTTCGCTTGGTTGTTAGGTGTCTTGAGATTACACTGGTAGCTTGCTTTAAAGATTTTTCCATGGAATCAAATCTTTCAGCTGAACAAGTAGTTTATTATCTCTGCCAGCAGTGTGAGGCTTCTTTGCAGTTTCTTCAGTCATTGTGCCAACAGAAGTTGTTTAAGGAGCGCCTGCTAAAGAATAAGGTTTTCCAAACTAGACTTTAAGCATTTAGAGTAACACATCATCAGGCGATTATGTCCCTAAATTTGTGTAACGAAATTTGAAGTAACACACTGGTGTAAATGAAAATCAATATTACACCATTGAATAACTTTTCATAGGATGGCTTTCTCACAAAATCTACTGTTCGATTAAAAGTTCTTATCATATTGATCCATAAAAATTTACATTAATCCAAAATTGTTTTATACTCCAATTGATATATCCTGGGACCAATATAATATATACTTCCAAATATAAGAAAATTTTAACTATCTGATTTCATACTTTTTGTTCTATTTTTTCAATTTTTGTGATGTAAGATCAACGTGAGATAATTATATTTCAATCGTTAGATCGATAAAAATTACATGCTTTAAAAAGTTATTAAAAATAAGTAAGTTGAATACTACTTTAGTGTATATATATATATGGGATAGGATATTGTAACAACTAATTAGTGTTACTACCAATTAATTTCACCGTTAGATCGATTATGTTGATCCAACGGTTATATTTATTTCCATCTTTGTATGATTATGGTTCTCCATATTTAATGTGAAAACATTAAATATGAAAAATCATCACCGTACAAAGGTAAAAATAAATATAAAATATTAAATATGGGGAATCATAACCATTCAAAGATGAAAATAAATATAACCGTTGGATCAACATAATCGATCTAAGGGTGAAATTGATTGGTAGTAACACTAGTTGGTTGTTATAATATCCTTCCCCTATATATATATATATATATATATATATATATATATATATATATATATATATAAGGGAAGGTTATATTTACAAATTTTTTGTTTACGAACTCTTGCAAACTACACTGGACTCCCGAAAGTACACTAGGTTACACTATGTACTTCTGGGAGTACATAGAGTAATTTGCAAAAATTTGTAAAAAAAGTTTGTAAATGGATCCTTCCCTGTATATATATTTATGTATAGGGTTTATTGTTTCTCATCTCATAGGAGATAACCCAAAAACTACGTCGTTTTGAGGGTTAGGGTAACTAATGAAGGGTGTTTTGGTAAAATTCATAGAAGACAATGGAAGGTCGGTTGCATCCTTTTGCCTTTCTCTCAGTAACATTATGATATATTAAAATTCAATTGTTCCATAAATAAATCATACCAAATTCCTCCTGTGGTACAAATGTTGTAAAATGTATATATACTTTGTCTCAAGAAAGGAGGTGATTATATGCTTACGTGTTTACAGTACTTCAAGATCTCACATTTTCTCTCAAACTTAATGGTCATACGGATACCACCAAGAATAGAGCAGGATCTCAATTTTGGTTTCTTTGACTCCTTATGGTGCACGGAACATGGTTACTTTTGAGGTGTCTCTTTGGTAGTTTAATAGCGAGACAGGAGAGCTCTTTTGTAATGGCTTTGTTTGTTTCTATTGGTTGTTTGTTTTCCTATTAGGTTTTTATAAGGAGAATTCCTTTTCTTCTTTCTTTTCTGAATCCTTTGTTTCCTGATGATAATGATAAAAATAAATTTTTATGAAACAAAATAATATCAGATCTTCTCCACTGTCTGAGCAGCTCTACCTTTCTCTAGCATCTCCACTAAATTATTTTTAAAGAGGATCTTGATACTCAACCTGTAGGTTCTCTTGCCTTTAAAATGTGCTTTGATTTTATCTTTGAGTGGAACCAAATTGATTTTTTATCATATTCTTCATTTTCCCCCATCTATTCTCCTGCACCTGTTTGATTAAACATAACATAAAATTGAGGATCGTATGGACTATAACTTCCTTTCTTAGCAAGATCAAAATTGAAGATTGTTGTTAGGTATTTCTGATTAAAATTTCAGATGCTCTACAAATAATTGTGTTTTTATTTCGATCTGTAGGATGTCCACAAGCCCTTCTTTATACCCCGATTTATGTGAAAAAAGCAAGCCCTACTTTCCTCTCCAATTTGAGTACATTTAGGTTTGCCAGTTTATTTTTATCCCAGCCATTTTGTTATGCTTATCCAGAATATTACTTTCCATAAAATGCTTGGCATTCCATGCTCCCAACTCTGCCGCATATTGTTTTTTTTAACCTGACCAATGAACATAAAATGGAAGCAGGGAAATGAGTAAGGTTGGCAAAACGGGCCAACCCAGCCCGACCCGAGGTCGGGTTAGGGTTGGCTCGAAAAAAAAAAACGAGTCAGAAAACCCAACCCAACCCGACCCGAGTCGGGTTAGGGTTAGCTCGCGGGTTGGCTCAAAAATATGGCTAGTGGGTTGGCTTGAAAAAATAGCTCGCGAGTTGGCTCGTGGGTTGGCTCAAAAATTGCTCGCGGGTTGGCTCATTTTCAGCCTATTTAAATGACCTTGTAGTATTAATGCACCAGCTATGTGGTTTCCATTAGCTTAAACAAAGGGTTACAAAATGAGAAATAAAAGCAAAATATTTTAGTTTCGAATTTTTTTCACAATAAAATTTCATCAACATCAAGAAACAATCAGAACCACTTGCTACCAAGTGGGTAAGATATTTGAACCAAACAGAGCCAGCACAACCTAACAATATAAAAATGGTAGGGATGTGAGAAGATTCGAGACTTAGATTTAGAGAAGAAAAAAATGATGACAACATGTGTGGGTTTTGTCCATTTTTGTATATTATATTTTGTATTTTTTATAAAAAAAAAAAAAAACTCAACCCGCAAGCTGACTAGTTTGACCCGCGGGTTGGCTCGTTTTTTCACGGGTTGAAATGAGCCGGGTTGGCAGCTCATTTTTGCCAACTCCACCCGATTCATTTTTGGCGGGTTACGAGCCAACCCGCGTTTTTGCCAACCCTAGCAAAAATGAGCCAACCCGTCGGGTTGACTCGTAACCCGTCAAAAATGAGTCGGGTTGGGTTGGCAAAAATGAGTTACCAACCCGACTCGAGCCAGCTCAGGAAAAAATGAGCCAATCCGCGGGTTAAAGGGGCCAGCTCGCGGGTTGAGTTTTTTTTTTTTTTAAATACAAAATATAATATACAAAAACGGACAAAACCAACACATGTTGTTATCGTCTTTCTTTCTTCTCTAAACCTAACTAATCTTCTCACATCGCTGCTATTTTTATATTGTTAGGCTATGCTGACTCTTTTGGTTCAAATATCTTACCCACTTAGTAGCAAGTGGTTCTGATTTTTTCTCGATATTGATGCAAATTTGTTGTGAAGAAAATTCGAAACTAGAACATTTTGCTTTTGCGTCTCATTCTATATCCCTTTTTTATTTTTCTTTTTTTATAAAGTATTCTGTAAGACAATTGTATTGTTTAAGCTGATGGAAGCCACATAGTTGGTGCATTAATACTACAGGTTCATTTAAATAGGCTGAAAACGAGCCAACCCGCGATCTATTTTTGAGCCAACCCGCGAGCCAACCTTAACCGGCTCGGGTCAGGTTGGGTTGGGTTTTCTGGCTCGTTTTTTTTTTTCGAGCCAACCTTAACCCGACTTGTTTTTTCCGAGTTGCATGCGGGTCGAGCCGGGTTGGCCCGCCAACCCTAGAAATGAGGATGTTAAGGTGGATGTGTGATCATATAAGGATGAATAAGATACAAAATGAAGATATCCAACAAAAGGTAGGAGTAGCTATTGAAATATGTAAAACAAAGGTTTTTCTTGTATTGATACAATTGATTTACACTGATAAGGGTATTTATACAAAAGTAAATGAGAGAAAAAAATGGATAAGAATGACTCAGCAATGAATCATCAACCCTATCCTATAGAAGCAAATTCAAAATTCAAATTCCTATTAAAGAAAAAATCTATCACTAATTAATAGGAAGTAAAAGCGGAAAAATTTTATTCCTAATTTTCTACACTCCCCTTCAAGTTGGGAGGTAAATATTGACCATTTCCAATTTGCTAATCAGGTCTTCAGAGGCTGACCGGTGTAGGCCAGGATATCTGCAATCTGCTCTTTAGTAGGAACATACATTATACACACACTTTTATCATCTAATTTTTCTTTGATAAAGTGCTGTCATGGTGAACTGAATTTTGAGCAATAATGATAGTAGTCTTATTATCACAATACACTCTGACAGGTAAGGAAAAAAAGATCTTCAATTCCTCAAGGAGTCTTCTTAACCAATTCCTTCACAAATACCATGGGCTAGAGCCCGAAATTCTGCTTCTGCACTATTCCGGGCAACAAATGTTTGTTTCTCACTTCTCCAGGTTATAAGATTTCCCCAAACATAGGTACAATATCCTGAAGTGGATCTTCAGTCCAATGCAGAGCCAACCCAATTTGCATCTGTATATATTTCAATCATCCTCTTGTGTCCCTTTTAAAAGAACAATCCTCAACCAGGGGTGTTTTTGAGGTACTTGAGAATTCTATAAACTGCACTCAAGTGTTTTTCCTTAGGAGAGTGTGCTAACTGCAAATGCAATATCAGGTTGAGTGTGAGATAAGTAGATCAATTTCCCCACCAATCTCTGGTACTGCTCTTTGTCAACTTTTTCCCATCTTCAATTCCCAATTTAATATTGGGTTCAACTGGACTCTCTTCTGGCATGCACCCAAGCATTTCTATTTCTTGTAATAGGTTTAGAATATATTTATTTTGAGTTAAAGAAATCCCTGCTTTACTTCGAGCAACTTCCATGCCTAAAAAATATTTAAGATCCAAGATCCTTCAGTTCAAAAACTGATCAGCTAAACACTTCTTCAAAGAGCTTATCTCCTCACAATCATTACCTCTGACAATTATGTCATCAACATAAACAATGAGAATAGCAATTTTACCACCATTAGTGTTTTAAAAATAAAGTGTGATCAGTTTGAGCTTGGAGGAATCTTTTTCCCTTAACAACTTAAGTAATCTTCTCAAACCACTCTCTAGGGGATTGTTTAAGACCATAGAGAGACTTCTTCAACTTGCATACTGAACCGTCTCCCTTTTCAAAACCAGGTGGTGGATCCATATAAACTTCTTCATGTAGATCACCATTCAAGAAAACATTCTTTACATCTAATTGTTGCAAGGGCCAATCGAAATTGACTCAAGTGATAGAAGAACTCGGATAATGTTAAGTTTGGCAACAGGGGCAAATGTCTCCTGAAAGTCTATCCCATGAGTTTGAGTGAATCCTTAGCAACTAGTCTGGCCTTATACTTGTTGATGTTGTTATCTGCATTAAACTTTATTGTGAACACCCACTTGCAACCTACTGTTTTCTTTCCTCTGGGTAATGTTACGGACTTCCAAGTTCCATTTTTGTTGAGTGCATCCATTTCTTCAAAGACTGCATTCCTTCATTTTGGATCATAAGTGCTTCTTGGATGTTTTTGGTATTTTTGTACGGTCTAACATAGTGTTGAAAGCACGAAAACCTGGGGACAACTTTTCATACGTGATATGATGAGAAATAGGATGAGCAGTACAAGATCTAGTACCTTTTCGGAGAGCAATAAGCACATCTAGGTCGGTTGTATCAGTGTTGCTGGAACTAAGGCTCGAGTCAGAATTCTTGCAGTCTAGAGGTTCCTGAGGTGATTCTCGCCTGCTTTAAAACTTTTACCATTTACTAGGAGGATCTCCATTCTCTGGCACAGTAGCTCTCCCTATCTTTTGCACAAAGACTCCCCCTATCTCTAGTGGCAAAGGCAAAACAACAGAATCATTTGGTTTCCAAGACTTATCTTCATCTACCCTAATAGACCCCCCCTAAAGAGTAGTCGAAGGAAAAAAGGATTGTCTATCATCAAATGTGACATCCATAGAAACAAAGACCTTACAAAGAGAAGGTAAGTAACACTTGTAGTCCTTTTGGTTAGGAGGATATCCTATGAAGACACATTTAATAGACTTTGGATCGAACTTGGACCTTTGATAGGAAGGAACATGTACAAAAGCCACACAACCAAACAACTTGGGAGGAAGGGAAGAATGAGCCCGGAAAGAACAAAAGATGTGGGTAAGACTAGATAAAGGAGATTGAAAATTTAGGACATGAGAAGACATCCGATTGATGAGGTATGCTGCAGTCAAGACAACTTCCTCCCATAGATATTTAGGGATATGCATGGTAAACACAAGAGCTCGAGCAACTTCATGGAGATGTCTATTTTTTCTTTCAGCCACCCGATTTTGTTGATGGGTGTTAAGACAAGAACTTTGATAAAGAATATCATGCTGGGTGAGATAGTCTCCAAGAATAGAATTAAAATATTCAGTACCATTGTCAGTTCGAAGAATTTGGATAGAGGTCTAGAATTGAGTTTGAACCATAGCATGAAAGTTTTTAAAAGTGGATGCAGCGTCAAACTTATCCTATAGAAGGTATACCCAACATACTCTAGAGTGATCATCTATGAAAGTTATAAACCAATGAGCACCATAAATATTTTTTTCGTGGGTTAGACCCCATATATCACTATGAATCAAGGTAAATGGAGAAGAATCATGATGGACTCTAGGAGGATAAGAAACGCGATAATGTTTTACAAACTGACAAATATCACAAGAAAAAGAACTGAGATTTTTATTGATAAATAAGTTTGGGAACAACTTCTGAAGATAAAAGAAATTTGGATGTCCTAATCGACGATGCCACAACAAAACATCATTACAATCATCAGACAAACATATCGAGTGGTTCACAAAATTTTTCTCTTCACAAGAATCTTTTTCAAAATAATAGAGCCCTTCTTCCTCTCTAGCACTGCCAATCATCAGCCCCGAGTTCTGTTCCTGGAAAACACAAGCATGGACAAAAAACTTGGCAACACAATGTAATTCAGAGTTAAGTTTGCTGATAGAGATGAGGTTACAAGTAAGATAGGGAACATGAAGAACTGAGTTCAAAGTAATGTGTTCAGAAAATTTAATGATCCCTTTCCAGCAATAGCAGAGAAGCTGCCATCGGCTGTTCTTATTCGTGACCCTTGATAGTAAGGGGTATAAGAACAAAACAAGGTTGCATTACCTGTAATATGATCAAAATTCTCTGAATCAAGAATCCAACGACTACTATTATCAACATGGAACGTCGTACCTTGTTGGGTCACAAAACTGGTGATTTGCCATGCCAAACTTTTTCTAGATGACGGTGTTGGGCGCAACGGAAGGGACGTGTGAAGCCATGAGAGAAGACAAAGTTTACCTAGAAAATTCGTCGAAATTTTTTTAGGGTGGTGACCGGTTGGGTTCTGCTTAGAATTTGATTCTGCGGTGACTGGTGCCTTCACTTTGGTGATTAGGCCTTCGCAAATGAAGATTCCGACAAAAAACAGTAACTTCGATGAACAGTAACTCCGGCGATGAATAGTAACTCCGCGCGACGGTGAACAGTAACTCCGGCGGCGGTGGACAATGTTCCCAGCCTTGAGGATGGCTGATCTAGGGGTGGAACGAACCCGCTCTTGATACCATATTGAAATATGTAAAACAAAGGTTTTTCTCGTATTGATACAATTGATTTACACTGGCAAGGGTATTTATACAAGAGTAAATGAGAGAAAAAAATGGATAAGAATGACTCAGCAATGAGTCATCAGCCCTATCCTATAGAAGCAAATTCAAAATTCAAATTCCTATTAAAGGAAAAAATTATCACTAATTAATAGGAAATAGAAGCGGAAAGATTCTAATTCTGATTTTCTATGGTAGCACCGGTGGCTGAAAAGATGAGAGAACAAAAATTGAGATGGTTTGTGTATCTTCTTCAAAGACCCTTAGATGCTTCTGTACAAACAAAAGCAGAACATAAAGAAAGGAAAAGGTTGGCTGAAACTTACCTAGGAGACAGAGTAAAACAAAATCTTAATGAAGTGAGAAATAGATTGACGTATAGTTTGTCTAAGAACGTAGTGGAGGAAAGCTATCAGCATTGTGGAGGGATAGATTCATAATTTCCTATGTTCCGCACGACCCTTTTTTGTTCTTTTTCCCTGTATCTATTTATTTATTTGTGTATTTATTTATTTTAAATAATTTATTTATTTATTTTTCTCACTTATTTAATTTTTCTTTTACCTCAATCTTTTCTTGCTTTTTATCTGAGTTCATCAACCACTGACCCTGACTAGTTTGAGATAAAGGTGATCTTGATGTTGACCAATCTACTAACTGAAGTTAAATTTGGTCCACTAATAAGGATGGATAGTTAGTGGGAGAGGCTGGAGTTTAAGGTGCCAAGGATTTCATTTGACTAACTAACTACTTGCAACTTAGCCACTACGAGAGATGCTTAATGTCATTCCACCAATTTAGTTGGTGATGGAATGAATTATGCTTCATACATACATATATGAACTGCTTGGGTGTTTTTTATTTAATTGCAGGAACTATGTGGAAAGGGCAGCATTCTTTTTTTGGCTCAATCAATTTTGAAGATAAACATTCAACCATCTTTTCCAACTAGGATTGTGGCTGCAATTTCAAGGCTAAAAGCTAAAGTACTATCTATTGTGAGTCCAATGGCCAAATCTGTTATAAATTCCTGCTTTTGAATTTAATCTATTTCATAATTTGTGCATATTAGAGAGTGAGTCTTGGTACAACGTTCAAGTTGCTGCCTTGTGTTACCTGGTGGTCACTTCACAGGTTCTAGTCATAGAAACAGTCTCTCTGTCATGGAGGTTAGGCTGTGTAAGTGTGTATGTTTGACCCTCCTCATACATCATGATGGTGGGAGCTATGTGCGGCAGGCAGCCTTTTTTCTAAATTTTTTTTGAATTTATGCATATTATTAATAACTCCATCACTACTTTCTTCATGCAGCTGCTGAGCTTGTGTGAAGCAGAAAGCCTTTCTTATCTTGATGAAGTTGCCAGCTCATCAGAAGGTTTAGAATTGGCTAAATCTGTCGCTTTGGAGGTTAGTTTTCAGCTTTTAGCGCATAATGCGAACCTGTTGAAGATAAAGGGTCCACTGTTTGTGGGCTTTTGCTGATAATTGGTTGATGGGAATTATTGCCTGAAATGGTTTAACTTTGATTGTATCAACTTTTACCACTCCCATCATTTCATCGTTATCTGTGTGTATGTTACTCATCAACTGAGGTTGGATCTCTGAGTATTACGCAAATAAATATAATGATTGTTGAGTAAAAAAGTACGAGTTCTTCAGTAAATCTTTAAATTGATATTTGTGCTGTGGTGGTCTGCTGTATGCATTTTTACCTTTAATGCGTCTAACTTGTGTATAGTATTCTGGCCTACCCGATGGCCTTGAGCATAGCCTTTCTTACGCATTAAATATTTCAATGTTTTTACTATCAGGTTCTGACTTTTAATATTGTTTTCATGATGTAGGTTTTTGACTTGTTGAAGACTGCTTTCGGAAGAGATCCTAGACATATGACTACTACTGACAGAAGTTACCCCATGGGGCTTTTACAGCTTAATGCAATGCGTCTAGCTGACATCTTCTCTGATGATTCAAACTTTCGATCTTACATGACGGTTTATTTTGTAAGTCATCATTATCAGAATATTGAAAGTTAACTTGCTTTAATATTATTTACTTCACTTCCAGCATTTTTGTTGTTTGTAAAATTACCCAAAATTTGATTCATGGAAAACATGATCAATTATTAAAAGAATTTCACCTCCTCTTTCTCATTAATTTGTTGTTGATGCATTATCTGTATTTTATTTGATTTGTCAAATCTGCATTCTGCTTTGAGAATTTGATTGCTTTCTTTGCATGTGATTCCAGACTAAAGTGCTGACAGCAATAATATCACGCTCCCATGGAGATTTTATATCTGGTTGGTGTTCGTTTAATCTCCCAGTAACAGAGGAGGATGCAAGTCTTGAATATGATATATTTGTTGCAGTGGGATGGATTTTGGATAATACTTTACTGGATCTCCGGAATGCAACAATTTTGGAATTACATCTAAAACCTAATAGAATGCCTTGTGCTTCTTATGCACATCACAGGACATCCTTATTTGTTAAGATCATTGCAAATCTTCATTGTTTTGTTCCCAACATATGTGAAGGTTGGTTCTTTGCCAATGCTCTGCAAATTTTTAGGACAAAATTTGATTGTTTTAAAACTATATATATTTCCTCATATCATTTATCATTTTTCTTTTTTAATTTTAATCCCCAGAGCAGGAGAGGAACTTTTTCGTTCTCAAGGTCCTGGAGTGCTTGCAGATGGATCTATCTAATTTGCTGCCTGGGTTATCTTTTGCTTCTGATGCTCCTAAAGCTGCAACTGTTAGCAAGAACCTTCGTAATGATTGTTCTCAGACACTTTTTTTGGAATTATTAGCAATATATAGCTACTTTCTTACAATTAACTTTCTTTTATAGGCTCATTGTTAAGTCATGCAGAATCTTTGATTCCGAACTTTTTAAATGAGGAGGATGTACATCTTCTAAGGTCACATGTCCCTCTCTTGATTTTCTTTGTAGCGTTTACTTTGGCATGACTAATTCTGAACAGTTGTTTTGATGGTAAATCATGTATCAGCCATATATATGATGATTCATGCATGATTACCGTAGCCTTAATGGCATCCCCTTATGTCACTTGAATAGAATTTCAAGTTTGTTCCAAGCTGATTGAGGAAAAGGGACAGAATTTTTATTATAAATGACATTAGCAGATGTTTGGACAAGGTTTCAAGCATGGTCCGCAAATAGTTGTAAAGAACCATTTGTTGTCAAGGGTTTGATCCTCACCGCCCTCCACTTTCTCTTGTGGAATTTCTTAGCACATGTAGGTGGGCCTATGCTTTGTCCCCCTTTAAGTTCAGTGGGCTCGTATGAGGGGGCGTGTTAGAGATATATAAAACCATTAATGTAGCCTCACCCACCAGCTTAAGCTTTTGGATTGAATTGGTTCTTTACATGGTATCAGAGTCTCGGTGTCACGGGTTCAATCCTCACCGCCCCCTATTATCTCTTGTGGAATTTCTTAGCATAGGTAGGTGGGGCTGTGCATTGTCCACCTTTCAAGTTCAGTGGGCTCTCATGTGAGGGGGTGTGTTAGAGAAGTATATAAACTATTAATGAGTGTTAGAGTATAATATAAACTATTAAAAAGACCCTTACTTAACAGCTTAAGCTTTTGGGTTGAATTGGTTCTTTACATGATATTAGAGCCTCGTGTCCCGGGTTCGATCCTCACCGCTCGCCACTTTCTCTTGTGGAATTTCTTAGCATAGGTATGCTGGACCTGATGCATCATCCACCCTTTAAGCCCAATGGGCTCTTGTGTGAGGGGGCGTGTTAGAGTATAATATAAATTATTAAAAAGGCTCTTACCTAACAATTTAAGCTTTTGGGTTGAATTGGTTCTTTACAATGGGCCTTCACTTAATAGCTTAAGCTTTTGGGTTGAATTGGTTCTTTACAATAGTTGCATGCTAATGAATTAGGTAATTAATTAGTAAATTCTATTTGGTGGGAACCTTCTTTATCATTGCATGCCAAGATGTTCCCGGGACAGATTACCGAAATTCAATACAACTTTTCTATCCACATAGGAAAAAGGAATAGACATGCTCTTCTGGTTGTGGTCTGTGTGCCATTTTTTATACTTTTTTTATTTGTAGCTATATGACACCCACATTAGTGGATGTCAATTCGCCTTTATTTTTTTCCTTAAAAAAAGAAAATAGTTGTAAAATTTTAAATAACTACACTAACGGTAACTTCCTACTTTTCACAATAAGGTTTTATGTGGTGGGAAGAGACCAACGCGATAGTAAAACTCTGACATTATAATTTAAATATCTACTAGCCAATTTATCTATGGTGCAGACAGGAATTTATGAAAATTCAACTTTATGCAAGTCTCATTGAAAATGTGTTCTTGTAAAATCAATTTTATTGTTATGAAACTTATGTTTCATTTTTTATGTCTCTCTCTGTTTCATATTGTCCTGTCATGTTTAAATAAACAACTTATATTTTAAATTGTGTGCAGGGTGTTTTCTGGCAAATTACAATCACTAATTACTTCTACTGGCTTCGGGGGAAATCACGTTCAAGTAAATCTTTGTCTTTAAATCTGAGCTGTTTATATTGTTTGTTGCTGATTCTTTCATGACTGAAAGGTCATGGGTTCGAATCCAGGAAACAACCTCTTTGCAATTATGCAAGGGTAAGGCTGCATACAAGGATTACCTCCTCCCCACACTCGCTAGTCGGGTTTAATGGGAAGTGGTTTGGTTGCTGATCTCTTTCCTTCGATTTTCTTGAAACTTTTTCCGTTTGTAATTCTGGAGAAACTCAGGATAGCAAATTTGAGGAGTCATTATCTTTGGATACGTTTTCTAAACTCATCAACAAACATTATCAGGTATGTGCAAGGTTTTTTGACACACAAAAGGCATTCAGTGATCGCATTGTATGGCTACTTGTTTTTTATAGTAGTTACAATTTATGAGTTATTGTGCCAATGGAAATGTAATTAAAATTAATCTATCTTTAGAACTAGGCAATGCCTTTAAATTTTAAATAACAACTTAAGCCAATTCTTAAATTGGGTTATTTAGTGACCATTTAGCTTGTCCTCTACATATTGCTTAAGCCTTAAATATGATTTCCCGCAGGAGGCTCAGAGTACAGGGAGATGCTCATCACCTTTTCTAGTAAAAGAACTTGCTGAACTTAATAAGAAGGATGGTAACTTGAAGGAGGGAATGTCTGAGAATTCTGCATTTCCAGGCATAAGCCAGCATAATACCAGAGCTGAAAACACAAATCAAGGCGATGACCAAAATAGGCAAGATCAGGTAGCAGATAAAGGCAGAGCTGGTAAAACTGTGTCAAGAAGACCAAGAGATACAGACAAGGACTCTCAGAATGCTGAAACGAGTGGTTCAGATACTAGTTCTGCGAAGGGAAAGAATGTTATTGATCATATGGATAATGGCAAGCTCTCAAAATCAATTGAGCATCATAAAAAAGTTGTAGTTGGAGAAACTCCAGAGGATGAAAAGGTTGAAACTGTGCAGAGGAGAAAACGAAAGCGAACTATAATGAATGATAAACAGGTGAAATTGATTGAGAGGGCACTCTTGGATGAGCCTGATATGCAGCGAAATGCAGCTTCGCTTCAATCATGGGCTGATAAATTAAGTCTCCATGTATGTGAAATGCATCTAAACTAATAATTAATATTTTATTGACTTATTTTCTTCTCTTAGACTTTCTGGCTTTATGTTTTCCAGGGTTCTGAGGTTACATCTTCTCAGCTTAAAAATTGGTGAGATGCCCCTTTTCTATGTTGCTCATCAAATAATTTAGTTCTACACATTGTTCATGCTCTGATGTAAAATCTCTGGTCCCATAACCATACCTTTTTAACCTTCGGATATTATACAGCAAAACATATGAAGTTATATAATGAATTCTTTCTTTGCCAAATTATAGTGATATCTTGTTTAAGTTTTTTTTATCTGAAACTAAGCTGTTACTAGGTATGCGTCTTATTTTTCACGTTTCTTCTAGGTTTTTCAAACCAATTTATGGTTTAAAATAATAATAAATGAAGCCTGGTGTGTGATAGGGCAATGAACAGTAAAATTTATTGGTTTTTATGAAATATTTATTTTCACATTGACACATCATTTGGTCTTGATGCCTGCAATATCTTAGTCACTTGCTTGTGCGCACCACGGCTATGTCAATTTTTTTTTTTAGCCAGTTTGATTTGTCTTGGAATTTCATGTTTGTCATATCAGGTTGAACAATCGAAAAGCTAGGCTAGCCCGCACAGCTAAGGATGTTCGAGCAGCAGATGTAGATAATCCAGTGCCAGATAAGCAGAGAAGGCCATTACTAGGGCCCTATGACTCACCTGAGAGTCTTGGTGATGAGTCAAATGCAAGAAAAGGTCTTCTTAGTCTCGCGAGAATAGCCTCTGGCGATAATTCTGAGCCTTCACTGGCTGAATTTGTTGATGCTGGTCCTCCAGAATTTGTTCGTTGCAAGTTGGGTCAGTATGTTATGCTTGTAGATGTGCGAGGAGATGAGATTGGCAAAGGGAAGGTAGTTCACGTGCATGGCAATTGGCATGGGAAGAGCTTGGAGGAATTAGAGACCTATGTTGTGGATGTTTGTGAGCTTAAGGTTGATAAAGGGTTGCGGCTACCGTACCCATCAGAAGCCACTGGCACCTCATTTGCTGAGGCTGAAACAAAGTTAGGTGTCATGAGAGTGTTATGGGATTCACGCAAAATTTTTGTATTGTAGTCTGAATGAGTATTGCTTCAGTTTCTGCTCTCTTGCTGCCAGCTTCATGTTGTTATCAATATTCCTTGCGGTTGGTTCCCTGTATCTTCTGTCTCGTCAATTGTGCACATGACCTCTTATGGGGTGCAAGTGTAAGAGGAGGAGGCTGCTCAAATGATCAACACAGCAACACTGGTTGCTCCTTTCCTTGAATGTTAGCTAATGGGATAACGAATGCTATTGCAGAAAAGAAAAGAAGACAAACAAAACTATGCCAAATGGAAAGATTACCATTTGTCATTGAGGGAAAGGGGAGAAGGTGGGAGAGAACAGTTAAGGAGAAAGCAAGGGTGATTTAGCAAGGAAAGATAATTTATGATATCAAAAAGAGCCATCCGGCAGCAAAAAATTGTTATTGTCTTGTGCAGAACATGTTTATCAGAAATAGCTAGCAACATGACTATCTGCTAAACAATGGTAAGGGTTGATGAAATTTGAAATTGGATATTCCAAATCTTGAGTTTGTGTGTTGAATTTAAAATTACAATAATTACAAAATTATGTTATTTAAAATGATAAACACTTTTCCCATTAATTAATATCATGTCGTCATTTGTTAAAGAATAAATTATAACTTCTGATTATACCAAATAGATGTGTTCTATTTGGATCATGGAGTTCCTACTGTGCTGCCTCGTTTCTTGTGACGTGCGATCCAAATGGAAATATATGCCTGCAAGATTCTTGGAACCACATAATTGAATTAAAGAATCACAAATACTAACGATAAACACACAAGTATGTAAATTTTTAATTTTGTTTTTCATAAGAAGGATATATATGCAAATTAAAACTTGCTTGGAGTGAAGAAAGTGATCGTGGAAGGGGATTCAGTTCATGCCCTTGCAGTCCTTCAGCCGTTAGGCAGGGAGTCTAGATAATCAAAGTAGAGGTCAGAGAATGAACTTGCAGAAATTGGGAGCTTATTGGCAACCATGTCAAACTCAATGGGAATACTTGTTCCCACTGGCTAGCGTAGTTTGCGTCCAATCCTGGGAAAGGATACCATGAGTTTCAAGAACCTCTATAGGAGCTTATGAATTTGCTCACCGAGAACTGCACGGGAGCTCTTGCGAGCTCAACCCCTGCTTTTTAGTTTTTATTTGTTTTCTCTAGGCTAGAGTCCTTCTCATGTAAAAAACATAAAAATAAAAATTCTTCTCTCGTTAAGGACAACATTTAGGGAAATAATTTATGGGTGGAATGACTCTTTATGTTACAAGAGAAAAAATTATTTCATATATACAGAAAAAAATATGTGAAGTTGATATCATATTTTTTTTTCTTTCTCTACTCTCCTCACATGACCCCACATGTGCCCCATATATTTTTATGGGATTATATTTTCTTATGCAACAGGAGATATGATATCTCATGTTGCACTCACAATTTTATGCGGGTCCCATTGTACAGAAAAAGAGAAGAAAAAATTGAAGTGAGACTCACACCTTTTTCAGTGTATAGGAGAGACTTGTTGTCTACTATCACAAGAGATTAATATTTTTTTCTACTTTTATATGTGTGTAAGAGATAATTTTATCTCATATAACATAAGAAACGGACCCATAATTTATCTACGCACTCTAATGATATTGAGTGAGTGACAATCCCGGAAATTAGCACAAGCCTTCTGTCTTCCACTCTACGTATTCTGGAAAAATAAACCAAACAATGAGTTTTTTTTTTTTAAAAAAAAAATTCTTTAAAATTATTTTATAAAAAAAAATTGAAAATAAAAAGACTAGAAAATTTGTTTCAATACAATTAAATCAAAAGTTATAAAGGAGTTGAATTTATTTAAAAAAAATACCATTAATTAATCTTTACAATTAAAAGATTCTAACCATAAAATAATTTACAATTAAAAAATTTAAATTTATTTATAAAAATATCATTAATGAATTTTTGTAATTATAAATTACTATCTTAAAATAATAAAACCAAAAAAAAAAAATATTGATCCGCCACATCAGCATTCACATTCCTCGGATTTTGACTTGAGTATAGGCTGGTTAATGTCTCCTATTGGATTTCAAACGGATCCTCTCAACTCAGCCCATACTATCCTAAATGATCTGGGTCGGATCCGGCCCGATCTCATAAGTCTAATGAATGGATTGGGATATTTTGGTCATTTGAATGTAGCTCGTATATAAACCCCCACACAAACCAAAACGGCAAACCCTAGAGCCACCGGTTTGTTCCCCCTACTTCTGAAGCTCAGGTTTGTTGTGATTTGTGCCTTGTTTCTCCATGCTCATTGCTTAATTTCATGTGGTTAATAACTTCAGATTTTATTTTTTATTTTTAGGAATATTTGACAGTTAGGGTTTCTTCTTCTTCCGTAACCTATGGCTCCTGCTAAAGGTATGTTTCGTTTCACTGTATAATTCATTTTTGTGATTATAGTATTGGAATCAAGCATGTAATTTTGAAGAAGATTCTGCTTTTAAAACAAAAAACAAAAAAATTGTTGGCTCTTTTTTTCTTTTTGTGTTTATAACATGATTGATGGTTTTGTGCAGTTGATAGTTCTAAGAAGACTGATCCAAAGGCACAGGCCTTGAAAACTGCTAAAGCAGTGAAATCAGGTGCTACCTTTAAGAAGAAGGCCAAGAAAATCCGAACATCTGTTACGTTCCATCGACCTAGGACATTGAAGAAGGATAGAAACCCCAAATACCCACGCATTAGTGCCCCACCAAGGAATAAGCTTGATCACTATCAGATTCTTAAGTTCCCTCTCACCACCGAATCTGCCATGAAGAAGATTGAAGACAACAACACTTTGGTTTTCATTGTTGACCTACGTGCTGACAAGAAGAAGATAAAGGATGCAGTGAAGAAGATGTATGACATCCAGGCCAAGAAGGTTAACACATTGATCAGGTTAGCACATATTCAGTGATGCTTTATTAATAGTCCCATTATTTCTAATGACTATGGTGTACTGGTATTGAATTTCATATTGCACTATCCTTTTGAAGGTACTGTTATGTTGATATATGACATCACAATTAATCTTGGCTCTGTAGCTTTCTTCTCTGCCTTTTACACACCCGTTTTGGAGTGTGACTGTTTACTATTATATTGTTTAAATATAGGTGTGGCATGAATACTATGTAATGTTAACACTAGTGAGTTAATAATTTGGAGTACGAAGTGTATGGCTACAGTTTCACTCACGGAATCTGAAAATAATGCTTGGGTTATGTTATCTGTTATTATTGACTTGTCTGGCTAGGAAAGTAGAAATACTTTGAATGTTTCCTGTAGGCTTTGTTTGGGAGTCACTATTAGGAGGGAAAGGGAAGGAATGAGAAGATTTTGCTTGTACCTTCCCCTTGTTCCAGTTTAAAAATGTGGGGGAAGGGAATTGGAGATTTTTATAAAACCCTTCAAAACCCTTCTCATTCTTAAAATTAAAGTTCCCCCAATTTTTGGGGTTTAAGAGGTAAATATTCTAAATTACTTATTTACCTTTGGCATTAAAATCAAAACCCTCTATCTCTTTCCAATTTGCTCTTTCTTTTTGAACCATTCCTTCCGAATATGCACACTGGGTACGTTGACATTAAACTTTAGGTATTTTATAGCTATTCTAATAGACTTTACATACTATATTTTTAACTACCAAACAAGGGAAGGAATTACCCTTCATTTCCCTTCCTTTCTTTCTCCTCCCTTCTCCTTGGATTCCCTTCCCCTCCAAACTCCCGAACAAAGCCATAGAGAACAGAATTTTACTATGTAGTAGTACTTGCAGAAATTTATTCAGTGTAGTTCAATATGGGGCATTAAATTTGAGTTCTTTTGCAGGCCTGATGGCACCAAGAAGGCCTATGTGAGGTTGACTCCTGATTATGATGCATTGGACGTAGCAAACAAGATTGGGATCATCTAAGTTAGTACATGGCTTCACCTGGGTAAATTTTCTAGGCAGTTGTATGGTGATCATTGATGGAGGACTTGTTAAAGAAAGGATAAGTTCTATATTTTGTGCTTAGTTTTTTGTGTTTTTTGGTTCAATTGACATACAGACTTCATGTTTCAATTTTGGCTTGAGAACTATTTAAATTGATGACTGAAATGAGCATGTTAAAAATTTCTTATTTTTAGTGATTTGGCAACTCATAGAATTAAAAGTTTGATGAGCGGACAAAGTCACTTGGATTTTTGCTCAAACCGCAATTTGTGGTGTCTATGAAATAGACCTGCGCTGTAGTCTGGCATATGTGGGACATTTTGAGCCCTTGAAAGAACACTAACCAACCCACAAGGGATACCTCAATTGGTACGCAAATTTGAGTTCAGTATTTATGAAGTCTGGGGGTTAGTATTTCGCTCAAATTATAGGTGATCTTTGGAAGACAATTTTGGAATGGAGGGTATTGAAAGAGAAAACGACGAGAAGAGAATTTTTTTTGATTTCTGTATTAAGAGAATTATAAAGTTATAAAAATAAGGGAAAACATTTTCTCATGTTACATGAGAATTCAATTCTCATGTTGTGACCCTTCGATTTGCGTGTAAAATTTATCTTTTCTTTTTCTTTTTTTAATAAATGTGGGACCCATCACTAGTTGAGTCACAACATGAGAATTGAATTCTCATGCAATATGAGAAAATCAAATCCCTAAAAATAATTAAGGAATCATTAGGTTTTATGATGGACGCTATAACTTTGTACGCTCAGAATTGACTTGCGATATACACGAATAACTAATCGGAAAGGTTTCTTTCGCTGTTAGCTTTACATAGGGGTTCTATTAATCAGGTATCATAGGTAGTGTCTGTATACTAGCAACATTTATATTGATTCCCCCCTCTTACCCCATCTCTTCACGGCTTCACCTTACAAAATTAACGAAATTTGAAAAGCAAACTAGAAAAAATCCCTACCTTTTATGAATAAAAGAAATAGAACTATAATAATTGGGGTTGGAAATTAACCAGGACTAGACTGTTGTCTAATAGCCAGAATTTCAGAGCGAATGGATTGAAAATGGGCAGCCCTTTCATGAATAAAGTCTTCCCTCCTCAAACTCTCTGTCAACGTGTAAGAAGATACAGAACACTCTAAGTTGGCAGGGAGGTCAAGGTAGACATGAGATCTGCAGATAGGGCAATTTGAATGAGACTGAAACCATGTGTCAATGCAGGAAACATGGAAGCCGTGGGTGCAGTTTGGAAGATGTTTTATCCATACCCCTTCTTCAAACTCTCCCAAGCAAATGGCACAGTCCACGTTTATTGGCTTATGATCTTCCTCATTTTTCTTAAACTGAGATATGGGAAGAGAGTGTACCACAGATAACTCCAATCCAATGCTTTGAAGCTGCAGAGAATGATCATTGGGAATAGACTCATCTAGGAGTCGCCTTTGAACATGGTTTCTAGTGGTGCTTGCTCGGTACATTTCACATAAGAGACGCTTAAATATGCCATAGTAACTTATTATGAGGAAGAGAACGCATACTATAATAATTGAACAAACTTCTCGTGGTTTCCATTGCGAAGGTTCATCAGGCTTCGCAGAATCAGGAGACATTTTAACGAAAATGAAGTTAATATCAGTAAAATATGTAGGGAAAACAATACAGGCACGCGGAGACAGAACGTTTAAACCTAAGCAGTATCAAAGTATATCCACAGACGGTAATATTAAGGATTCTCCATTGCTTTCCTTGTCTTAAGATACTATCAAAGCTTAAATTTTTTGATTTTTAAGCTTTGCTATTAACACGAAGGTATTCTTATTCAACCATCTCCAGCAATCATGTCCTCAGAGTACGGCCACTAAAACTAGCTCCTCATTGCTGCAACGGATGTATTGGACACTTATCACCAGAAATGAGATGAGATTAATTCCCTAACCGAGGCTTAGAATGCAAAGGTATCACCTCTGGCCAAAAAGAGTCAGCGAAGGATCGAATATATAGTCTTATCCTTGTGGCACAATATACTACCAATTGTGCCCGCCCCTCGGGTTAAAGTTTTGAGATTTTGCAAAATTCTTAAAACAAAAATAAATAATAATTACTGTCAGTTTGACCCAAGTTGTTATTTTGATGATTATCTGTAGTCAAAAGTTTGCATCACAAAGAAATAAATTATATTTATTAATATGAAAAGTTTAAGTTTTTCCAAAACTTCCGAGTTCACACCATTATCTTAAACTAAAACCAAAAAGGCTAACTATCCCACATCAATCAAAACCAGGGGATGCCATTTACACCAATTCCTGTAACTCCATTTACAGAGGGGAAGAAAGGGACACGGGGGAGGAAATTTCATCAAAATCATTGTAGCCTTTGCCGTTTCCTTGAAGGGAATGGGATCCTGACACTAGAACTTGAACTCAGCTGCAATGTATTGTTCCATGAACCATGTGGCAGACCAGTAAAGTTGAACATGAAATCTGAACATGATGAGATAGCATTTGAAGAATGCAAAGATGGAAGCTTTGGTTCAATAAATGAATTTCCTGTATTTGTAAAGGAATTGGGCTCAATGCTAGTGGTATCACACTCTTTGATAGTTAAAGGTGGAAGCTTGATTCCTTGCAAAGGAGGGGAATTTTTCCACGTAGGATGTGACTCTGAAGGGAGAACTGTCTGAAGTAATGGACCAGCATCCATCATAGCCTGAACGAGTTTACCCTTTTGAGGCAAGTCCCTTCCTTTGGAAAGAAAATCTACTAGTGCAGCTGCAGGATCAGACATTGGCTTTTCTGAAGGGACCATCAAAGCAGGATATGGTAAGTAATTAAAGTCTTGAACCAAATGCTGGTTGAGATAACCCATGTTATTGGAGTCAACTGCATTGATGTTTGAAAACTCTGGAGAAAAAACAGAATCAAAAAAGGAATCTAATGGTGGGGAACCATGTGAAAGACCATTAGATTCTGTGAAGCTTGAGTTTGCTTCAGTAGCAGGCAACTTGAGAAGGCTTTCGTGTTGGGCTCCATCAAATTCTTTTTGCAAGTGGTTTGGGCTCATTAGTTTCTGCAGCTGACATCTTGCTTCATCTCTCTCTTGGCAAGCCATCTTCAGCATATTGAATAGTTCCATCTCAACATTCTTGGCGGTTTCAAGTTCAAGTGTCACATCCATAAGCTTCTGCCTCAACTCATGTTCTGTCTGGAAAATCAAAAGGAAATGTGAATGAGGTTTTGAAAAAAATTGTGCCTGTACTGAAGTTAAGGAACCAGTTCTTAATGTTGTCACTCAAAGTGATCATTGATTATAAGTGGATGTTACTTATAGGGTGAAATTTGAGCCGAATATTAAGCAGCCTTAACAAATGGTGGAAAATGAACAAAAGAGAAAGTGACAAGGTTTAATGCGAAGACACGAAGATCAATGTCATGCTTTATGCTTTCGGCCTTAAAAGGGAGATTTGACACGGGCTCTTGCTTTTGAATTACCAAAGATTCTCATTGGCACTACATAACAGGTGCATCAGTTTCAACAACTGTTTCAGACTTAGGAAGATTAACACAATCCCAAACAACTTGTAAGGAAAAATTAGACTGTCTGACCTAATTGAAAAATTTTCTTGATAAAATATACATTTGTCTTCAGAAAAGTAATGATGGGGTATTTGTAAATAACCAAAAAAATTATTACCGGTAAAGGAGACAATGATCAAACCAACGGAAAATTTTGAGGTATTCTTGTTACACTCATGACCCAGTGCAACGATCCAATCAAAGCTAGAGAGAGAATGTGCTAATTGTATGGGAAAAAGAGGAAAAACAAAAATTTAATCCATGTGTCATTGAGTGGAAGTCTCACGTACAATCGGTGCATTGAAAATGCACTACAATTTAACCAACCTTTAAAAATTAGTATCATTAATAAATGATAATTGTCCAAAATTTAATATAAAAGAGTACAAATTAAGGGAAAACGGGTCAACGATGAAATTACAGAATCCGGTAACGGTACAAAAAATGACAATAGGCTCGGAAAATATCCTGACTCTACTCGTTATTATATTATCTAAAGAAAATACTGTCACCAGCTTGATCCGTCCAACCACAAGACATCTCAAAAGAATCAAGAAATAGAAGAAATGAACTGATAAGAAGGTAATGAATCAGAGTCTTAAATAGACCAACTTAATACACAAAAAGAATACTAATCGTGAAACTATGTAGCAAATGAAAGAAGACATGAAAGCAAATGTCATCAAATGGAAAAGGGTCATTACAAGACAGAATTCTAATCAAGGATGAGGTAGAATCAGACTAAAGAGATGAACATAAAGAGACTAAAGCAAATGTCCACAAAGCTGTAGGCAATAACCCACCTCCTGGTAAATGAATACAGAATCCAGGTCTTCCATACTTTGCACCTTTTATTTGAAAGGAAAAGGAAAGAGAAAATTGGATCAGGGAGAAGCAAATGTGTACAACCTGCTATTTATAGAGAAAATGGTTACGCATAAGACTGAAGGGAAGGGACAATGGGATAGGAGGGAAGATTCGTAGAAAGTAAGGTTCTTATATAAATCCAGAGGACAAAGTCCCTATCAATGAAAATCAAGCAATGCCAAGGTCTTCCTCTGAGAATAAATTGTTGTTTTCGTTCAAAAATGCTGGAAATCATCCCACCCTTTCAGGAACCGTGTCACTTCTAATATTTATGATTTTGTGGTCAACTATTTAATGTGGTTAAATTTGTATAACCCCACAAATTAATTATCCAAATTTAAACGGGAATATCTTCATTTAATTTACAACATTAAAATAAATTATGCCTAGTCATTGACTCAGTTGGTCTACTCTCGCATTTTGATATAAATAACTCTTAAGCAATTACCCCTGCTTAAAGAAAAAATTTCATGTATCCAGAAAGAAAGAAAAAATCCAACTATTTGATATTAGGAAACATTAATAGTGATTCAAATTAGGGCATGCATCAAGGGAGGTTTGAGTTGTAAAAAGTATATTTAGGGACTAAAATTTAGGATGTGTTTTAAATTTGATTGACTAGTAAGTGTTTATTTTCATAAATTTGTCTATAATTATTAGAAAAATAAATAAAAAAATATTTTGACCAATTTTATAATATAAAAATAAATCATGTGGAGTCATTATCGTTTAATGACTCAGCTGGTCTACTTACTATGCACAATGACGTCTCGCTAAAAAAAATATTCCAACTGTTTATGATTATGCAACATTAATAGTGATGCAAATTAGGGCATGCATCAAGGGAGGTCCAAATTGTACAAAAACATATTTTGGGAATCAAATTTAGGTTTTGTTTTAAATATAATTAATTTCTTTTTTTTTCAAATTTTCCTTTTAATTACTAGAAAGCAGATAATTTAAAATAAATTTGCATCATAGATACATTGTTCCTAAAAAAGGAATGTACCAATCTTAAAAGAAAAAAAGAATGTAAATTTTTTTGTAACATTCATATTCCCCTTAGGATCCAAATATAAACCAAAGTCTTTAGACACCCCTTGTATCCAACTCAAACTCAGATCTAACTTGGGATGTGCATGGGTATAAATGAATTGAATTTCTTGAAGAACTGAATTGAATTTCTTGAAGAACTGAACTGAATTGGTTTAAACGGTTTGGTTCGAAACGAAAATGGTTCAGTTTGGTTGGAAACTGACTCGGGTCAAATCTATTCTTAATAGAAATTTTTTTAAACAATTTAAAAAAAAAGAGAGATAAAACATTCGATTCAGTTTGAAACTGGTTCGTGGTTCGAAAATAGTTCGGTCTGATTCAGTTTTTGAAATGATTTTTAAAAATAGGTTCGGTTCTTGAATGAGTTCTTTAAAACCGGTTCGGTTCATGAACTGATTTTTAAAACTCAATTATTTTAAGAGCTGTTCAGTTTAATTTTTTTATTTCTTTTAAAACTGTATAGCTTTGAACTGATCTTTTTATCGCGCGTACACACTATATTTTGGCAATTTGCCCAAGCGTTGCATATCATTGGGCCCCGTTTCTCAGATAATCAATCCATCTCCACTACTAATCACCTTTTTTTGAACTATAGGTCCCTATCAATGAAAATCAAGCAATGCAAAGGTCTTCCTTTGAGAATAAATTGTTGTTTTCATTCAAAAATGCAGGAAATCCTCCCACCCTACTGTGTCACTTCTAATATTTATGATTTTGTGGTCAACTATTTAATGTGGTTAAATTTGTATAATTCCTCTAATTAATTATCCAAATTTAAAAGGAAATATTTTCATTTAATTTACAACATTAAAATAAATTATGCCTAGTCATTGACTCAGTTGGTCTACTCTCGCATTTTGATATAAATAACTCTTAAGCAATTACCCATACTTAAAGGAAAAATTTCATGTATCCAGAAAGAAAGAAAAAATCCAACTATTTGATATTAGGAAACATTAATATTGGTTCAAATTAAGGCATGCATCAAGGGAGATGCATCAAGGGAGGTTTGAGTTGTAAAAAGTATATTTAGGGACTAAAATTTAGGATGTGTTTTAAATTTGATTGACTAGTAAGTGTTTATTTTTATAAATTTTTCTATAATTATTAGAAAA